CCAGGGATGCATCCTATCTCCATACCTTTTCAACCTATATGCAGAACAGATTATCCGGGAGGCTGGTCTCTATGAGGAGAAATGTGGGGTCAAGATTGGTGGACAATTTATCAACAACCTGAGCTATGCGGATGACACAACCCTGCTTGCTGAAACTGAAGAGGACACAAGTATAGGCTCGAATATGGTGATGCCAGTGCCCCCCTCTAAGGGCTAGAACCTGGGGATCCAAGCGCCTGCTTCCAGGGCAGAATGCAGCGACTGTGGCACCCATCCCATTGCTGTTAGTTGCCAGGAAATCGAGCTTGACCCATACAACAGATCTGAACCCTGTCCTGTCCTGTGCCATCCTCGCAATCTCTGACACATCTGATTTCATTGCTACAGTCACTGTGTTCATCTACCTGGTTGATGGTCTTCCTCTCTTTTGCTGTCCTTCCACCTTTCCAAGTGTGATGTCCTTCTCCAAAGAATAGCCTTTCCTACCAATATGCCCAAAGTATGTTAAGACAAAGCTTTATCATCTTTGCCTCCAAGGAGCGCTCTGGCTGCAACTTCTCCAAGACATATCTGTTTGTTCTTTTGGCAGTCTTTGGGATATTTAGTACTCTTCCAACATCACAGCTCAAAGGCATCAATTCCTTTTCTGTCATCCTTAGTCATTGCGCAGCTCTCAGATATAAAGCAAGTGACTGAAAAGACCATAACCTAAAACAGGTGTCCCTTAGTCCTCAAATAAACATCATTGTTCTGCAATAATTTGGAGCGGTCACTGACTGCAGGCTTTTCCAATGGAAGGAACACATTTTATGTCCTGTGTCCCATAGGGTTACTATTCATAGGAATTACTTTGATGGCATACAAACAAGAATCTTTAGGTTGTGGGGAGTCCCTGTGTGGTACAAATGATAAAAATGCTCAGCTGCTAACCTAAAGGTTAGAGGTTCAAGTCCACTCAAAGGGGCCTTGGGAAAATGGCTTGGCAGCAAAAAAAAAAACAGCCACTGGAAACCCTATGGAGCACTGTCTACTCTGACCCACATTGGATTGCCCTGAGTCCAAATTCACTCAGTGATAATTCGTTTCTTTAGGTTGCCCAGCTGTTACTATAATACTTTCTAACAACCTGGCCTTGGGACTCCTTGAGGGTAGGAGGAAACATTTCAAAAGAAATATTGTAATTCCATTTGAGGTAACCTAGGTTGTGCCCCATGCCAAAATATTTTCCATAATTAAGTGGGTGGTGAGTTAAAGCTGATTCTGACCCACAGTTACCCTGAAAAACAGAATGGAGCTATAAGATTATAAAAATTATGATTGTTACAGAAGTAGACCACCGGATCTTTGTCCCATAGATCAGCAGATGGGATTGAATCCTCTAGCTTAGTGGGTAAGGAGTTGCATTGCCAGCCAAAAGGCAGGCAGTTCAAATCCAGCAGTTGTTCAACAGGAGAATGATAGGCAGTCTCGTCTGTGAGATTTACAGCACCTGGAAACCTGCTGGAGGGTCAGCTCTGAGTGTGTTCTGACTCAAAAGCAATGACTGTTGAATGGATTGAGAAATTGTGGTACATTCACACAATAGAATACTAGGCAGCATTCAGTGATTTTGAAAATCACTACCTATCTCGGAAGGGACTGCAGAGCATTATGCAAAGTGGACTAACTTTGTCTCATAAAGACAAATACTGTGTAAGACCATTATTGTAGAAATAGAAAGATAACTAGTAAAATGTGTGTGAGGCTCCAAGGGGGGAGGGTAGGAGCAGAGGGGTGAGGATGGGTATGGGGGTAACCATAGGGTCACACAATTTTATGGGTAGAGGGAGAGGTTGGTAAAGGAAATGGGAAAGATCCTGTGTGAAAAACAATGTATATGGACTTCGTAAGCAAACCAGTATAAGTTTTTTTTCAAAATCTTTTTTAAAATATAGCAATGATTGAGCCTAGTGCTTAATCACTGTGCCACCAGGACTCCTTTGGACCTACAACCCGCACATGTAATTTCCACCCACATGCCATTTAGTTAGCGTAACCACAGGACTGGACGTAAATGCAGTAGAATCTAGGGGAGAAAAGGAGGGCAGATTTTGGTGAAAAGTTGACTATCCACTTCAAAGACTCTGTAATTGATACGCTTTTTTCCTCTCCAGCTATGAAACAAAGGGGAAATCAGATACTTCCAGCAACCATGCTGTGCTGAAGCTGGCCAAAGGGGATGAGGTTTGGCTGAGAATGGGCAATGGCGCTCTCCACGGGGACCACCAGCGCTTCTCCACGTTTGCCGGCTTCTTGCTCTTTGAAACGAAGTAAACAGTGTCAAGAAGCCAGCTCTACTTTGGGGAGCTTTGCAGCAGAGCTGATTTTACTATGATCTGAGAATTGGTGGAGATGAAGGATCTACATCTTGCATTAAGGAAAGAAAAATATTGGTCACATTTATTGATCGTGCTCTAGGTTTACCAGTTCTGTTGGATGACTCAGGGGCTCAGAAGAATCTAACACTAAGAGTCTTCCCAAGTGAGCTTAACTAATATACACAACACTTTGACCCACTCTCCTAAATACATGAAGGGGAATTTCCTTGTGATGTAGGTTGGAAACAATTGTCCCCTTGAAATTACATTTATTTGGAAACAAATTTGACAGCTTGGTTCTCATTTTGGTACCAGCTTTCAGACACTGCAAAGTCTTGAGTTCATCACTTCAGAAAGGAGGGGCAGTGGTGTTGATGAGCTTGGACCAAGAACTGGGGCTTTTGCCTCAGAACCAAACAACTCGTGAAACCTAGGCTGAGAAGTAACACTTGGTCCAGTATTAACGAATGAAGCATAAATATTTGTTAATAATTCCAGGTAGCTTCTATATAGAAAAACAACTCACAAGCCCCACAAAGACTTGGCTCGTTTTTACGAGGACCTGTCTGCTAGTAAATATTGTCTTCTAATCACTCCTAACTTGCAAATAGAATTTTATCAAGTCCCAGACATAAGTTTATAAGATTTAGTTAATGAGATTGAATCTTTTTTTTTTAATCCGTTGTTTTATTGTGGAGGCAATGTATATGCCAGAAAGCATTTTTCAACTTTCTTTGTGTCTGGGTGGCCTTTAGTTTTTAATATTTGCCATTTTAGCATTCCTCATGGGATACAGGATATGTTCATTATGTTTTATAACCACCACCATTATCAGTCTTTGAGTTATTCTACCACCATTAAGAGAAGCTCAGTGCCCCTTGAGCAAAGATTTCTTTTTCACTTCCTCCCCCTAGTAACCACTAGTAAGCTCTGGTCTATAAATTTGCCCTTTTTGTCTAATGGAATCATACTATAGTTATCCTTTCCTGATTGATTTCACTCAGCCTATCTTCCACATTCATCCATGTTGTAGCATGTATCAGACCTTTGTTTCTTTTTAGGGCTGACTAATATTGTATTGTATATGTACATTGTATATACACACCATGTTTGGTTTTCCCACACATTAGTTCAAGAGCTTCAATAGTTTCCGCCTTTTGGCTACTGTGAACAGTGCTGCAATGAACTTGATAGACAACATTCTGTTTGTGCCTCTGCTTTCAGTTCCCTGAGGGTATATGCCTACAGTAGGGTTTCTGGATTGTATGCTAGTTCTGTAATTAACTGTTTGCATTCGTCGTCACTTGCACCATTTTGTGTTCTTGTGCGCAACACAGGATTCTGGTTTCCGAATAACTCTTGACCTCTGCACGTTAGATTCTTGTTGACACTGTCTGCAAAGCCAGCTGAGGCCAGCTCAAGCTTGTATGGATAGTTGTCACTTTCATTCCAATCAGTTTGGAAGCTAGCTTTCTTTATATACACTGACATGCCATGTTGAAGGTGCTGTAAACATAATTACATGCAGACAAACGGACACAAAATGTAGGGGTATCCCATTAAAAAATACACCCTAGAAACTCTTAACTTTCTGTTCAATTAAAATAGCACAGAACAGCTACTATGTAGCATAAATTTTGCCTTTGAATGAATTTTATTCTCAGAGGATTAAGATTTGCCTCCAAAATGATATTTACAACCACGTGGTTGTAATTCTTAAGGTAGTAGCCAAAGGGAGGTTCTTAGTTTATCCCAGACAAAGAAAGCATCATTGCAAGAAGTATTCACCTTGAAACTGACTCATATTTAAAATGCACCAGACAGCTGTGGATCTGAAAAATAGAGAAGTAATGAACCCTTTGTTTTCTACTATAATTCACATTTCCACATAGGCTTCCTAACTAGGAGTTTTTGAAATACTAATTTTCCCTTATAGCTTGAGGCAGAGTGAACTAGTTAAGACTGTCCTATTATCCAACTTAAGGAGCCTAAGTAGCATAGTGTGAGGCTACTCGCTCAAATATCAGCAGTTCACATGCATCAGCATCTCTGAGAGTGAGAAAGATAAATCTCCCCTACAGTGGTCACTGCGAACCAGAACCAGTTGAATGGTAGTGGGTGATTAGTTCACTTTTTTGTTTAACTAGCCCCTTTCCTTTGGTGGCCTAGCAGTAAAGAGTTGTCCTGCCAACTCAAAGATGGGTGGTTCCAATCCACTAGTTGCTCCAAGGGAGAAAAATGAGCAGTATCCTCCCAAATGGTGTATGGCTTTTGAAAATCCCCTCAAGGATCAGCTATGAGTTGGTAATATTTTTAAACTTTTTGTGAATCCACATGCAACACTTTATTATCGTTTATCATTACCTGATCATCTAAGATAAATGACTATTAGATATATAATGTGATATATAAGGCTATAGGAAGGGGGCATTACTATTCCCAGAAGTCATACAAATATTTCATAGAAATGTATTGTCAGGAAGTATGTGAATACTGCCTTTGATAAATGTACTGTTTTTAAATGGTTTCAATAAAAATTAATAATCATAAAATTGTGAGTCACTATGGTTTGCTATTCTTGAGTTTGAACCACGCAGTGTTTCCTTGCTGTGTTTGTATGACAGCTTCCTGGTCTAAGTATAGGTTTCACATGAGCAATCAAAAGATAATTGCATTGGGACAATCTGCTGTTAAGGACCTCTCCGGAGTACAGAAGAGCAATGATGTCACTCTAGAGACCAGGCCATGGTCTTGGCACTTACTTGCTGTGCATTGGAGAGCAGAATAATGGCTAAGGATGACAGGGGGGTAAAAATCAATACCTTTGAGTTGTGACACTGGAGAAGAGTATTGAATATATACCATGGACTACCAAGAGAACAAAGATTGTCCTGGAGAAGGTGAAACCAGATTGCTCTTTGGAAGCAAGGACTTTGGGCATGTTTCCAGAAGTGACTGGTCCTTGGAGAATGACATCATGCTTAGAAGGATGAAGTGTTGGCACAGAAGTGAAAGACCCTGGATGAGATGGATAAAATGACACAGTGGCTTTGGCCATGGGAGCAGGTGTGTCAGAGATGGTGTGAGATTGTCTCACGGTAAGGCAGGGTTCAGAGTTATGATTCATAGTGTCACTATGGGTCGTAGTTGAGTCAATGGCATATAACAACAATATATATTTAACCTCTGTCTCCACTTGTCCCATAGAGTTTATATAGGTATACCAGGAGATATTGATCATTGCTTACATTCCTTCCTTTTCAAATAAAAAGAAGTCTAAAATTATTCTGTGGTTACGAACATCTTTAGCTTGGGAATTTAAACTCCTTTCAAGAATTTGTGTGATTGTTTTCTTACAGTAGAAGATAGCTACATTTTCAATGTTGAAAGTGAAGTTTTCAGCCAATAGCTTCATGATATGTAAACCCACCTCAAGAAGAGAGGAATCTGCACTTCACCAAAGACGACATTCCGATGGCTAGCAAACACATGAAGAAATGCTCAAAATCCCTAGC